TTCTCAAGGCAAAAGGAAGTATAAAGGAACAGAAAGAGTACACAATTACACTCGCAACAAGTGAGCCAAAAAACTTAAGTCTCAACTGTGAAATTTAGAAAAGTAACTGTATTTATTACATTACATTACATCATTTAATACACATAGTAAAGAATATGAGATTTTAAATGCAACCTGCTTATAGTCCAAAATATCATTATTTGAGAATTATAATTCTAACATAACAGATTATATACTATATTGTGTTTAATTTCATACCAAACTGCTCATGAATTTTCATTTATTACCAATGTTTCTCCTGAAAGTTACTTCAGCGAGTATTCATTGTTTGCATCTCAAAATGCAGAGATAACTACATTAAGCATCAAAAATATCAATTTTACTTCTGAGTTCAAACCAACAGGTGGTAAATTTTCATCACCAAGACAGTATCACAAGCAAATCAACAAGTAAAAACAGAAGTTAGAATACAAGAGCTATGTTACCACAACTGCCTTACTCTGGAAAACGCATTCGTATTGACAGAAGTATCAACATCAGATTATTGAAATCTTCTTTCCAAGTCCGTTTCTTTATACTCAGTTAAAAACAGTTCTGTATAGGATGCATGGACAGATTTAAAAGAAACTGTTAATGAGTTGGGTCAGGAATCCACAGCATAGGGATGAAAAGGGAAGCCTGTGGCTCAGGGTAATCTGCAGACAAGGGGGCCCATGCAGCACAAACACCCCAAGACAGACAGCAGCAGGTGGAAACTTACCACTGGAGCAGTTGGTCCCCCCCCAGCCAGGCTCACACTGACAGGTGTTTGGAGCAATGCAGCGACCATGGACACATTTGTCAGCACAGTGGGCTGTCAGGGAGAAAATCAATCAAATTAGGAGAGTTGGCACGAGAAAAAAAACCCAACAACACAGCTGTTTCACATCCCAGTCTCAAGTATCACTTAAAAACAACATGCATGCTTGATAATTTTCTTCAATCCGTTCCTCAGCCCTCTCACAGACTGCGGTGTAACCAAACAATTCCCCTTCTTATTNTGAACTCCCTCAGATTCTCTTCCCCTTGGCCCCCAAGCACCCCGATTCCAGAAGCCTGCTGACAACCTTGCCAGCCACTCTTTGCTCCACATTCTGTTGGGAATGGGAAGTACTTCTTCCTGCTCATCAGCTCTGGGGATCCACGCCACCCCCCAGCTATCTTCTCAGGAGCCTTGTTCCCTCAATTAAATGATGCTCTCTCTACACTGAGTCTCTACCCTCTCAGCCTCCAAGTCTTTTCCACCTTAAAATACAAAACTTTCTCTTAAACCTACATTTGTCTTTTACTAACTCCCTCTTGGCTCCTTCTTGTTGGCTTCTCAGCTAAGTTTCTAGAAGAGCCTGTACTTTATCGTCTTCTTTTCGTGACTCCTCACCCCACGGCAACACGTTAGAGCCTTCTTGTCCTCCCAGAAAACCTGTCACTACCTCTCCCACCTCCATTTTTAGCTTCCTCAATCCACCTCTTCCACTGAGGCCATTCTCTTCCTCAGGATCGGACATTCACACTGCTGTCTGCTTTTATCGAAGGATCAGCACTGTCCCACCTGTGTTTCCTCATCCCAGCACACAATACAGCTCTGTGCACACAGTAATTACTCAGGGAAAGTTCACAATGTGAACACCTGAATGGCCTTCTCAGGATCATGCAGAATCATACAGTGCATTCAACCTAATTAAATGAAACAAACATCTACCATGCTTCAACCACATGCCAGGCCAAACGGAGGCTAAAGAGATTAACACCACACAGCCCCTGCCCTCCAGGAGTGGTTTGTCATCCATCGAGGGAGGAAAAGGAATAGAGGATTGATGACTGGACAGAGAAATTGATGGGGGGAGGGGGGGAAACAGAGAGAGAGAGAGTGGGGAAGAGAGGAGGGGAGAGAGATGGACATAAGACAGATTAATGTCATAGAGACTAGGGTATATATTAGGATACCAATAAAAATAAAATATGTGTGTGCTTTTTAAAAAATATCATTTAATCAAATTTTAAAAGAAGCAATATGCCTGAGTATAGTCAAATAAATCATGATTTCACTTCAGGGGAACAAACTTTGCACAGTTAGTTCTGTGAAGCCCCTGGTTTTTTATACAGAGAATACATTGAGACCCAGGAACACTAACTATATATCACATATAGGAATCCTTCCTCCCCCTGACAAGGTACATAGATTAAATCTCCAAGGGAAGCCTGTGTAAACCTGTATATGTGAAAGTACCTGTTAATTCCTTAATCTCCCATGGATATTGGGAAGGAAAGAAACTACAGAGAAAGAACTCTTGCCATAGTTATCAACTTATTGCCATCTGGTCATTTTAGGCTCTTATTGTAAATAAAAGAAGCTATTCTTCTGGCTGGAATAATAGATTTTAATTTTTTAAGGGGAAACTGGGTTGGGGGCAGGCTAGACTTAGTGACTTGCTTTCCAAAGACCAAAGCAGGGAAAGGAAAAAACAATAACTTTTTGTAGAGAAACTCAGCAAACACTATATACACATTAGCATGTAATGAAGGTTAACCAAGTGACGACATCATTATGATATCATATGAATGTCATGATGCCCCTCATATGATGTAATGAGAAGGGCACTTCAACTCTGTGGTAGTCTTTTCAAAACCCATAACCCTAGTTTCATCATGAGAAAAACACCAGACAAACATAGACTGGGGGACATTCTACAGGATACTTGGCAGGTTCTCCTCAAGACTGTCAAGGTTATGAAAAACAATGACTGAGACATTGTCACAGACCAGAGCAGACAGGGGGGATGTGACAGTGAAATGCAGTGTAGTGCCCTGGTTTGGATCCTGGAACAGAAAGAGAACATTAATAGAAAGACTGATGAAATCCAAATTAAGGTTTGGAGTTTATTTAACAGAAACGTGTGAATGTCCGTTTCTCAGTATGGCAAACTAATGGTAAGATGTTAACAAGGGAGAAACCTGAATGCGGGTATATGGGAACGCTCTACTATCTCTGCAACTTTTCTGTAAATCTAAAATTGTTCCAGAATAAAAGGTTTTCTTGAAAAAAAATGATTGTGGTTTCTGTCTCCCGATTGGACCCTGCCTGATACATAGAACTAGTCTGATTATCAAAGCAATCATTTTGCAGATCTAACTTATATAATCAAATATTAATAACATATGCATAAAACTAACCAGGGAAGAGGGGATATAGAAATAGAATCCCTTAAAATCAGGCCATTCTAATTGGGCTACTCAGTAGACTTCTAGAGCATGCATTTTATTTCAAGAATTATCTGGCCAATAGTAACTAAATTACACAACTCTTAACAAAAGATAGTAGAGTAACTGCGACAGACAAAACCCAGGTAACAAGACCCAGTGCTGGAGCTCAGAATAGCATTTTCTTCTGTGCTTAAAAAAAGGTGTCAGAGGCCGACAAAGTGGCTCAGTTGGTTAAGAGCATGAGCTCTGAGCATCAGGGTCGCTGGTTCAATTCCCACATGGGCCAGTGAGCTGCACCTG